TTTGCGGGCGCACAGCCCACACAGCATTCCCCCATGTCATCCGGGGTCACCCTGCTGCCCTGAGGAGACCAGTCTCCCGACTTCGGGGTGGTGCAGCATCCCCTCGTCCCCTCACACCCAGTCTTGCCCGCGAGGTGCTTCTGTCCGGCAGCCTCTGGGATGTCCGGTGCCTGCACCCCGTGCCCTCCCGGGGCACGTCCTCGCCGGTCCCATTCTGAGCCACTCGTCCCAGGCCTTCTGTCTGGAAGCCCTTGGCCGCGCAGTGGGGCTTCCTGACCTTGAGCACGAGCCCCTTGCCCTGGGTTCTCGGCCACACCCACTCCCTCCTGGGTCTAATAATCCACAGCTGTGCTGGGGTGATGTCCACGGCCTCCCCTCACTATCAAGGTGAAACTGTCCTCCAGTCTCTCTGAGACCATCAATCACCAGATTTTCTTCTTTGAGAGTTTCTGTGGCTGCCTTTCCTGGGATGTGAGCTTTTCTTTGGGGACCTCGCTTTCTTCTGGTGTCTGCAGGACTCAGGGGACAGCTGGTGAAAGGGGACATGGGCCTGGGCTGCCCCACAGGGAGGGGACCTTGTCTGCCACCCACCCACCTCTGACACTGTGGAAATGTGGCCGTGGTCAGCCTTCGCGGAACCCTCAGACCCACGGAACTCAGCCTTGAGCAACCAGGCCACTGTCTCCGCCCCCAGCGCCTGGCCTCACACCTGTGTTTGCAGCAGCCCCTCCTCCAAGGTGGCCGCCCCAGTTCTCTGGGGCCCTGGCTGAGCTCTCTCTCCTCCAGATCCCACTGTCCACTGACCATGCCCATTGGTGTGGCCCTCGGGGCACTCACCAGGCAGGCTGCAAAGGCCTGGGCATCCCCGTCCACCAGTGCCGTCAGCTGGGCTGCGGCTGCATGGAAGGGCGGGATCAGGCGTCGCATGGCTGCATCCAGGTGCTCGAACTGTCGCTTGCCGTAGCTCATCAGGCCAGCCATACAGGCCAGCGAGGCACCCTGGGGACGGTCACCCCAGAGATGGCACGCTGAGAACTGGGACCCTGCTGCCACCTGTTCCGTCCATGCCCCCACTGCCCCTGTCCTGCCACTGTCCCTGCCCCACTCCTGTCCTATCCTACTGCTATCCCTGTCACTGTCCCCAGCCCTCACTTACCATGGCCGCACTGGCTGCTGCCACCGAGCCACCACCTGGGGCTGCCGAGCGGGCACCCACTTCACGGACAAAGGCACGCAGGGGCTTGTCAACCAGGTTCTGCTCAGGTCCACCTTCATCGACCAGGTACCTGCAGGGTCCACGGGGGACAGGGGACAGGGTGCTGGGTTGTGCGGGGATGGAGGACAGATGGGATCCTGAGTTACTTGGGGACAGGAGATGGGGTCCTTCCTGCACAGACTGTGAAGGAAAGTTTGGCTCAGACCGTGGTACCGAACCCCAGTCCACCCCCTCACCCCCATCACCAACACAGGATAGGGGATGGGGTCCCAGTATACAGAGCGGCCCCAGGCTGGGAGGGGCTGTGACCACCCTGGAGCCCCCATGAGGACAGAGTAGGACCTTGTTGGGGCCTCGCAGCACCCCCCAACCAGCCCACACCTGGCACAGGCACCCTGGCCAAGCAAAAGGCTCTGGAAGGACTGAGGCGGAGGGGAGGGCAGGGCCCGGGGTGCTGCTCACTCAATGATCCGCTCCTTAGGGTTGAAGGGGGACAGGGAGTCCAGACCCAGCCGGTTCACCACCTGGAAAAGGAAGCAGGCTGGTGACCAGCGATGACCTCAGCCCGTCTCCCATGTGTGAGGGAGGCCTCCGAAGGGTCAGTCCCGCTTCAGCTCCCGGCGCATCCTTGCCCTGCCCCGGCCTTGGCGTGAGCAGTGAGGCAGGGGCGCAGCTGGCCACACTCTCGCCCACCTCGGGCCGTGCAGACCGCTGGCTCCCCGTCCAAGCTGGGCTTACCTGGGAGGACACCCAGCCCAGAGCAGGCACCCTGACGACTTCCTAACACCGGCACCCACCATGTCACCCCATAGGGAAACTGAGGCCCAGGGAGAGGAGCTGCCCACTCGGCCCTCGGTCTGAACCACACGGGCCTTCCCATGACACCGCGTGCAGGAGCCCATCGCTGGAAGGGGCCCGCGACACCATCTCTTGGGACAAAGTTTCATTGACAAGCTCAGATGCCAACGACTGACTGGTCTTCCACTGCAGGAGCTGCCTGAACATAAGAGTCGTTACTCAAGGAAAAGCGGATTTTACCTAAATTCAAAATAAAATTGGAACCGTCCCCACTTAAGATTAGAATTCTTTTTACCAAAAACATTTGAACACACTATGGTGCCAGCAACACAGTCCCAGCTCACTCAGGGTGACAGCTCCACAAAAATAGGTGGTGACAAGTACTGCTGGAGATGAACGAGCCAGCGGGATCTCAGGGTCCCAGGGTCCCAGGGTCCCCAAGAACACGGGAATGGCTGGAGAGACCCCTGGAGAGTCACCTGTGGCATCAGCGAGCAGCTGGGCAGGGCCCTGCTGGTGCAGAAAACCTCCAGAGGAACAGAACTTCCCAAGTGGAGGCAGACACCCAGTGGGACGGGCAGAGAAAACGGAAATCATTCGAGATCGGGACGGGCAGGAAGGTGAGCAGAAGGGCCTGCTCACCCTGGAGCTGGGACCCCTGGGACATCTGAAAACCTCTGGCTGACTCTCCTGACTGGGGGTTCACGCCTTCAAAGAGTGGGGGCAAATTGGAGCCCCTGAACAGTGACATCTCCAAGGGTGAAATATAAGAAACACCCACTAGGGCTGGCAGCGTGGTATGTTGGTTAAGAGCTGGCTTGGGACGCCAGCTCTGAGCAGCAGGGCCCCGGTTCGGATCCCACATGGGCCAGTGACGCTGCGCCCTCTACCGCTAAGATGGTGAACAACAGCTCGACCTGGAGCTGGGCTGCCGTGAGGCGCCAGCGATGGCATAGGCTGCAGCCCCTGCTGCAGTGGGTTGCCATGGGCTACCACGTGTGGCCAGCAGCCAGTGTGAGTGGCCGGCAGCTGGTGTGAGCTGCCAAGAGCTGCCATGAGCAGCTGTCCAGAGGCCAGTGACCGATCTGCCTCACCCAGGAAGAGCGCAATGATATACCAACATGGGCCAGTGAAGCGACGTCCTCCACAACTAGACTGAAGAACAAAAGGACAGCAACTTGTCTATTCCCCTTTCCCCGATTCCCCAGCGCTGTTGCCCTCCCCCAATTCCCCAATAAAACCTTAAAAAAAAAGACATCAGGGGGTTGAATGGATAAGAAAACAAAGCCCTTACATATACTGCCTACAAGAGACTCACTTCAGATTGAAAGACACACACAGACTAAAAGTAAAGAAATGAAAATGTTATTTCATGAAAATGGAAACAAACAAACAAGCAAGCTGTGGCAGCAATGCTTATACCAGACAAAATAGACTTTAACCTCCCTGGCGGTCTGATTATATCAGTAATTTTGTACCCAAAGCATATATTGTTTTGCATAGAAATTTGTTGTTTTATATTGTAGGCCTGTAATTCTTAAGAATTACTTACCTAAATCGGTCCAAACAAGAGTCTAGTAGGCATCCCAGGTATGATAAAGTTTGAAACACAAAATCATAAATTATAATATAATAAATAATTATAAAAAATAGGGGTTACTGCTTCTGGCAGTGAAAATTAACCCCAAGCCACACTGGGGGTTGCCGCCAGGATAGTTAAAAGAAAGGCTATAATGAGAAACAAAAAAGGACCCAGAATTTCCACTTCTGGGTAATTATCTGAAGAAACCCAAATGCTACTTGTAGGGGACGTGTGCATCCATATGTTCATTGCAGCATTGTTTACAGTGGCCAAGATGTGAAGGCAGCCTGGTGTCTGTCGATGGATAAATGGATAAAGAGTAGGTGGTGCATATATACAGTGGAGTACTGCTCGGCCAGGGAAGGGAATGGGTTCTTGCCATCTGCAGTGACATGGAGGGATATGGGTATTGTGCTGAGTGGAGTATGTCAGACAATGTGATTTTGCTTATGGATGGAATCTAAGAACAAAACAAATAAACAACAGAAACAGACTCATTGATATAGAGAACATTTTGATGGTTGCCAGACAGGAGGAGGTGGGAGGTGAGTGAAAAAGGGGAAGGATTTAAGAAGTACAAATTGGTTGTTACACAGTAGTCATGGGGATGTCGGGTATAGCATAAGGAATACAGCCAATAACATTGTATTAACTATGTATGGGGTTATGGGTACTAGATTTGTTGGGGTGATAGATGAAAGAGGGGTTGAGGGGCAGGGTGAAAAGGTGAAGGAATTAAGAAGCACAGATTTGGGCCGGCCGAGTGGCACATTGGTTAGGAGTTGGCTTGGGACACCAGCTCTGAGCAGCAGGGCCCCAATTCAGATCCCACATGAGGACCAGTGACACTGCGCCCTCTACAGCTAAGATGGTGAACAACAGCTCAACCTGGAGCTGGGCTGCTGTGAGTCACCAGCGATGGTGTAGGCTGCAGTGGGGCTGGTCGGCAGCTGGTGTGCGCTTAAGCTGCCATGAGCTGCCGTGAGCCGCCAGGAGCGGCCGGCAGCTGGTGTGAGCTTTTGTGAGCTGCCGTGAGCTGCTGGGAGCAGCCGTCCTATGGCCGGAGAGTGACTGCCTCAGCTGGGAAGAGCGCAATGATAATACCAACATGGGTCAGTGAAGCAACATCCTCCACAACTGGACCAAAGAACAAAAGGACAGCAACTTGTCTGTTCCCCTTTCCCCGATTACCCAGCGCTGTTCCCCTCCCCCAATTCCCCAATAAAATCTTAAAAAAAAAAAACAAAGAAACACAGATTGGTCATGGAGATGTAAAGTACAGCATAGGGAATATAGTCAAGGATATGGTAATAACTATGTATGGTGCCAGGTGGGTACTAGATTAGTCAGGGGGATCACTTCTTAAATTATAGAAATGTCTAACCACTATGCTGTACACCTGAAATTAATCTAAAATAATATTGAATGTCAACTGTAATTGAAAAATTAAAAAGGGGGGGAAGGTAAAGTGGAATAAGAGGCTCCAGTTTCCAGGTATAAAACGAACAAGTCATGGGGATGTGACGTACAGCGTGGGGAATGTAGTCAGTAATATTGTGACAGCGTGGGACGGGGTCTGATGGTTGCTGGACTTATAATGGTGACAACTTTTTTAAGTACCTAAATGTTGAATAACTATTGTGTACACTTGAAACTAATATGGTATGCTAACTAGATTTTTAATAAAAATCTTTTTTAAAATAAGAAAATAAAAGCCCTTCAGTACTATTCGATTCTTTAAAAAAAAAGTTACACAAACTTTTATAAAAGCTAGAAAGAGTATAAACTAGCCATAGACTGTGTCAGCGATTTGGAAGTGAAGGTGGAGGAAACCACATGAAAACACAGGGAAATAAATGGAAAGAAAGGAGAGAAGAGACAGACCATATAGAAGTCTGAAATGCTTCGACAATGGAATTGGTGTCCCTGAAGTCAAAGAACCAATTAACTGGGTCAAAAATATAACAGAAGAGAAAATTCCTGAAACGAAGTAGGAGTGGAATCTGTAAACCACAAGAACACTTTCCAATGGACAAGATAACGTAAAATAATTAGCAGCAACGTGTACATGGAGGTATTAAATTTCAAGGACAAGTAAGGAATTCTTCAGGTGTCAGGGCGAAAGCACAGGTCACCTGGGTGGGGGGGAGATGGCCTGGTGGTCTTAGACATCCCCCCCGACCCCCAGTGTCATTTAATTCCAGAAGATGGTAAGGATACGTTTGCAACATTCTCTGGGAAAAACAAGTGACTTGGAATGTTGGTGGTCCAACTGTCTTGTCAGACTAAGGTCACAAAAGGACATTCCCTGACATGCTAGAATCCACGGAGTGACCTGCCACGAGCCTCTCATCACAACTCTGCTTAATGTGAGACCCAGCCAATGAACAGACAAGAAAGGAGGCCAGCGGGAAAAGACAGAGGTGCACATGGACCTCAGTTATGTACAGAGCTGAGATTAATCACCGGTAGATATTTCATAGGCTTGACACATGTGGGTATGCGTACAGAAGGTCAATGTTATACATCTGACAATGTGAAAATAACAACACCACACTTTGGAGCCGAGATGACCGCTCACACGAGAGCATTAATTTCCTTATCTTTCTTCACCGAGTCAACAGACATTGTCTAGTCTTAATAAAGTGCTAAAGGATTAAGTATGTTATTTAAACTTAAAACATAAAATACTTCGAACTAATAAACGAATTCTGCAAAGTTGCTGGGTACAAAGTGAACACACAATATAGTCAACTGCGTTTCTATACTCGAACAATGAGCAATCTGAAAAGGAATTTATAAAAGCGATTTCATTTACAATAGGTTCAAAAAGAATAAAATACTTAGAGATTAATTAACTAGCAGGTGAAAACTACATACTGAAAACTACAAAACACAGCTGAAGGAGTTTTGTAAGTAAATGGAAACCCGTCCCGTGCTCCTGGACGGAAGACTTCATGTTAAGATGACACTACTACCCAAAGTGGTCGCAGACTCCATGTGATCACTATAAAAATCCCAGCCACATTTTGTGCGGAAATAGAAAAATCCACTGTGGATGGTGGTGCTGCTTGCACCACATGACTAATATATTTAATATCACTGAACTGTACAGTTAAAAATGGATAAGATGGTGGGCCGGCTGAGTGGCGCATTGGTTAAGAGCTGGCTTGGGATGCCAGAGGACCCTGGTTCGGATCCCACATATGAGGACCAGTGACACTGCCCTCTACAGCTAAGATGCTGAACAACAGCTCGACCTGGAGCTGGGCTGAGTCACCGGTGATGGTGTAGGCTGCATCCCCTGCTGCAGTGGGTTGCCATGGGCTACCATGTGCGGCCAGCAGCCAGCGTGAGCAGCCTCCAGAGGCCAGCGACTGATCTGCCTCGCCCGGGAAGAGCGCAATGATGGTGCCAACTTGGGCAAGTGAAGCAACATCCTCCACAACTAGACTGAAGAACAAAAAGATAGCAACTTGTCTGTTCCCCTTTCCCCAATTCCCCAGCACTGTTCCCATCCCCCAATTCCCACAATTAAAAAGAAAATCTTTAAAAAAAAAAAAACGATAGATAAGATGGCAAAAGTTACATTCTGTGTATTTCTTGCCACGAAAAAATTAACCACCAAAAAGAATCCCCCTAAAAAATACCATAACTCTAAAAAAAAGAAAGAAAGAAAAAATGTCAGGAAATAGAGAAAGAAGAAAAGGTGGGAGTAGATACTGTGTACATGTACTTGTTTTTTCATTTTCATAGAAGGCAGTCAGTGTACTGATAAAAATTGATAAATTTGAAAATTTGGATAGAATTTTAAAATTGAAAAAATCTATAAAAAGAAGGAAGTATATTAAGTTATAGCAGTAATCACCAGAATATCTAAAAAATACTTACTTTCCCATATACAGTAACCAGAAAAAACCACACCCACACACCCCCATACAAGAAAATAAGACAAAACTAAGTCCAGACATACCTGCTAACCCAGCAAATCAACACCGGACAAAAACTTTCAGAGAAATCCAGTCATGTGCTCAATGTAAGAAACACTCAAAAACAAAATGGCTCTGAAGCCAGCGTGACAGCACGTGCTGCCCCCAGAGCAGGCCCTCGGCGGGCAGGACTCAGGGCCGGGGTGTCCCATGGGACTGACGGAACCACACTCTAAAGCCGATGGACCCAAGGCTCAGACCCTGCCCTGCCTACCTGGGGGGTCCCTCACCCGCACCCCAAAGGGCGAGGAGGCCGGGAAGCTCCAGGACGGACACCGGGAGCCAGGGACACGCTGCAGGTGCCCCCAGGAGTGTGGGGCCCCCTCACTTCCACTCCCACCCTCTGCTGGACCTTCGCCCGGGGCTCACCCACCAGCCGGATCCGCTGCTCCTCCTCCAGGACGAAGAGGTTCTCCCGCTCGCAGTAGAAGGCCGCGGCGTCCAGCAGGGCCTGCAGGGGCACCAGGCCCACCAGCTGCGAGCCCACCACCGGGAGGCTCAGCTCCTGCACATGTGGGTCCACATCAGCCCAGGGCCGGGCTCAAGAGCGCTGGGGAAGGAGGAAAGGGCCCCCACTCACCTGGGGATCCTCGCCCAGAAGGGGACACACCGCCCTTCTCACCTGGAGGGTCTCCCCACCCAGGAGGGCGCCGCCCACTCGCCTTGGCCTCTCTGCAGGTCTCCTCATAGACCGTGTGCAGGGCTGTGACCTCGAAGTCCAGGAGGTTGGTAGACACCTGAGCCAGGTTCTTCTCGTCCAGGTACCAGCCAATGCCCTGAACCTTCTTCAGACGTCCTGGCTGCAGAGAAAAAGCCTTTCCCAGCCCAGGCCCTGCCCGGCCTCTCCTTACGCCTGTGCCCCCCAGCTGCCCTGGGGCCCCCTTCCTACCCAGAGGCCGGGACGAGGCAGGTGCTTTGGCCACCGTGTCCTGCAGATGGCTTGGGGCTGCCCCATGGCCGGTGTGTGTCCCTCCACCTTTCTCTCTCACCTGAGCCAGCAGGAAGGGGCCTCCACAGAAACACTTAGGCCCCAAAGGACCAGGTCCCAGGATGCCACCCCTATGGGCACCAGGCTCAGGCGACACCTGCCTCCCGACCAGCACTCCACCCGCACTGTGTCCTGGGGGCCAGCCCAGGGCCACCCCCACCCAGCTCCGAACGCCTGTGTTTGGGCCCTTCCTCCCATCCCGCCCCTAAGCCCAGGGGCCGGCTCTCAGCCCCTCTCCCTGGGGCTACTCAGCCCACCTGAGGAGAGACCTCTGGCCTCTGACCTCTGACTTCAGCCAGAGCACAAAGATTTGGGGTTCTCCATGCTTTTGTGTTGTGCTTACACAATGGCATCTGTGGGCTGGGGAGCTGGGGTCTCTGGGGTGGGGGACTGAGGGGTGAGCAGGGCATTGCCACCCCCTTCACCAGGTGCCCCTATGTCTACCTGTGTCCAACTTGGACTTCGTACAGGAGTGACGCTCAAACTAGATGACAGCTGCTGTGGCAGGCTGGGTGGGTCAGAGGACCTGGGCACGCCTGAGAGTACCTCGGAGCACTTGGGGGAATCTGGGGGCACCTGGGGCTCAGGAAGCACCTGTCTTCCTATCAGCATGGAAATGCTGTAATAGTCCCACAACAGGTATAGATAGTCCTGCCTGCGTCCATAAAAAATGTCCTTTAAAGCAAGTGCTCCCCCACTTCAAACGCAGGAACCCCGCCGGCCCAGTCCCACATGCATGGACACTGAAGTCCAGCCTCTGACCCCTTCCCTCAGCACCTGGGTTCCATGGGGACGAGCCCAGCCCACAGGATGGCGGGCGAGCCCTCTGCCTCTCACCTGGTCAGCCCCGCGGCCCTGCTCCCGCAGGTTGAGGGCTATTCGGTGAGCCTGCTCCTTGGTGCTGAGCAGGTTGATGTTAAAAGCGATGAGGAACTTGCGGGCCCCCGTGGCCGTGGCCCCCCAGCTGGCGATGAAGGAGCTGGGGCCAAAGTCGGGCGTCCACTCGGCCTGCTTGAGCTGTGGGGAGACTCACCTTAGGGCTGTGTGCTGCATGGGGGGGGGTGCCCGCTGTGTTGGGGGAAGGAGGGGGACACTCACCCCTGCAGGGCCCCCCCAGACCCACCCTTGGAGAGGGGACACGGCACCTTCTCAGGCAGGGCCTCGTACTCCCCGGCCCGGATGGCTGGCAGGGTCCGGCGGCTGGCCGTTTGCGCCGCCTCGCCATAGAGATACACTGCAAAGGGAGCCCGGCTGGTCAGGCCCTGGCGGCGACGGCCAGAACCCCCATTCCCAGAGGAGAGCCGAGCAGGGCACCTCCCTCAGCTCTCTCTGGGAGTGCCCTTTCTTTCTCTGTGCCTCTTGGATGGGTGTGGGTGGTCACTGATGGACCCTCAGGCTAGGCCAGGACCCCTCCTCTGCCCAACCAGGGGCAGGCCAGACCCCACCTCTGCTGCTCCTTCTTCACAGAGGCCCCCCAAAAAGCCATCACCCCAACCACTAGAGTCAGGAGCCAACATGAGGGCATGCTACTGGAAGGACATTCTTTCTAAAATGTATCTTCAGGCAGGCCGAGTGGCGTGTTGGTTAAGAGCTGGCTTGGGATGCCAGAGGGCCCCGGTTCGGATCCCACATATGAGGGCCAGTGACACTGCCCTCTACAGCTAAGATGCTGAACAACAGCTCAACCTGGAGCTGGGCTGCTGTGAGTCGCTAGTGAGGGCGTAGGCTGCAGCCCCTGGTGCAGTGGGTTGCCATGGGCTACCGTGTATAGCCAGCAGCCAGCGTGAGCGGCCAGCAGCCGCAGTGAGCAGCCGTCCAGAAGCCGGCGACTGATCTGCCTTGCCAGGGAAGAACGCAATGATGGTGCCTACTTGTGCCAGTGAAGCAACGTCCTCCACAACTAGACTGAAGAACGAAACAACAGCAACTTGTCTGTTCCCCTTCCCCCAATTCCCCAGCACTGTTCCCATCCCCCAATTCCCCAATAAAATCTTTAAAAATAAATAAATAAATAAATAAATAATAAAATGTATCTTCATTGTACAATGACCACAAATGAAGGAACACAGAGAAAAGAAAGCAGAACTCACCAGCAGCCCCAGCACCTGCTCAAGCACAGATGTGTGCGTGCACGCATGTGTGTGCACGCACGCACATGTGTGCATGTGCGTGCGTGCTTGTGCATGTGCATGAGTGTGCATGCATGCGTGTGTGTGTGCGCGCGCGCGTGTGTGTGCGCACGTGCGTGTGCAACCGTGTGTGTGTGTGTGTGTGCGCGCGCGTGCGTGTGCACCCCTGCTACCCCCAGTCTGTGCTCACGAGCCCTGGGGCCCCTGAACCTGCTGGCCTTTGTTCTAGGGCATTTTCTTCAAGCAGTTAATTCCCCATGTGAAATGATCCCTAGGAGCCATGTGGGCTGTCAGGACTCCCCCTCACCAGGCTAAGTCACTTTACACAGCGGCTGCAAGAGCCCAGGGCCGCCCTGAGGCTGGGCTTCCACTGGGTAGGTCATGTGATAGGGGACAGGGACAGGCTCCTGCCTGTCATTCGCTCATTGGCGTGAGGCTGGTGACGTTTTAAGAATCTGATGGAGACTGAAACTGAGTGAGGAGGGGCAGGCTGGGGCCCCTCCTGGAGGCACTCACCTGGCACGCCCAGCTCCTCTGCCAGCCGCTGGCCAAAGGCCTGGGCACAGAGCACGCACTCGTGCATGCTGACGCCCCTCACCGGGATGAAGGGGCACACGTCCAGGGCGCCCATGCGCGGGTGCTCCCCTGCAGAGAGATGGGGGCTGAAGAAGGGAGGCCCAGCTGTAGGTGAGGGCAGGGGCTCAGGGGTCTCCCGGAGACCCCGCCGTCTCCGGCCCCATCTGCCCGCCATCCGCACACCCAGCTGTTTACACCAACCCTGGAAGAAGCAGGCCCCAGCGTTCCGGCACCTCTCTGCTGAAAACAGTGTCAACAGAGCCACCGGAAAACGGAGCGGGGCTGCCGTCCCAGAGGAGCCGCCTGGCCCGTCTCGCTCCTCAAACCTTGAAAAGTTAAAACAGAGCAAAACCACCTCTGCCCTGGGCCTCGGGCAGCCTGTGTCCCCAAGAGCTGTTTGCAAGGGGAACAGGAGAGCCGCCATGATGGCTCCGGGACTGGACATTAAAGACACTCTTAGACCCAGCGTCACGGTGCTGTCACCTGCACTTGGAGCGGCCTTCCTCCTACGGATGGAACTGTCCCCCTGCCCTTCTCGTCTACACCCCTGGCCTTTGTCTCCTCCTCGGGACGCCGTGGGCTCTGCCTGCACCACGCTGCCCGAACAGCTGTTCCTCCTGGTCTCAGTAAAGGCCGACGCCTCTCACTTTGGAAGGCCTTGGCCTGGACTTTCAGGGGAGCAGTGTAAACCCCTCCCTCTCTCCCCAGGGCTGCGAGGCTCCCTGTGAGTCCTGGCCTGCTGCATGGCCGCCTTCACCCGGTGCTGGCCACCCGGCCTTCCCTCCCCTGGCAGCTGCCAGGCCAGGCTGCATTCCAGGGCGTCCTTCTCAGAGGCCAGCAGACCCCCAGGATGATGAACCCCACCCATCCCCAGCAAGTCTCCCCTCCCCCAGGAGGCTCCTTGCTTTGAGACAGGCCCATCTCTTCGCCAGCCGGGAGCCACCTGTGGACTGTGAGCGGCCAGAGACCTTTGAGCCCGACTGTGTCTGGCTTTGTGGGCTGTTGACAGGTTCATTTCCAGCAAGGCCGTGTCACCTTGGCCCCCACCCCAGGGCCTGCTCAGGGTGCGTGAGCCTCACTGCCTCACTGCCAGCCCCACGCTACAACGTGGATAGGACTCTCCACGCACCTGCGTCCTGCACGGCGGGTTCACCCTTCAGAGGCACCGGGGCCCAAGAAGCCCTGCCCCCCACGCCGCGCCCTGGGGGCGAGGACGGCCCCTACCTTTGTGCCTGCGCATGTCTATGAGCCGGAAGGCTGCCCGGGCGGCATTGAGGGCCCCCTCCACCACGTCCTCCGGCCGCCCCACGAAGGTGTAGACGGTGCGGTTGGTGGAGGGGCCGGCGTCCACGTCCAGCAGCACACAGCCCGGGGTCTGCACCACGGCTTGGGAGATGGCGTCGATCACCTGGGGACGAGAGCCCAGACCAGGAGCTTCGGAGGTGGCCGCACCTCTCCTGTCCTCCACCCACCCACAGGGGTGCCCAGGAGCTGGCGCTGAGCGTTTGGGAATTCCTCAAAGAGCGGGAGCTTGGGGAGACACGCTGCCTGCGGCAGTCACCAAGGAGGGGGCGACGGCGGCACCCTCCAGGAGAAACGGACACAGGGAGCAGAGCCCGAGCGGAGGGACTGCAGGGGATCCAAGAAGGTGGCCTACAGGGCAAGGTCACAGAGGGTCAGGGCTCCAGTCCCTAAGCAGCCTCCAGTGGGAGCGTCTGTATTGGGGGAGAGGCATGAAGGGCCCGGAAACTTCTGAGGTGACAGAAAGGCCCATGGTTGGAAGTGGCCTCAGATCACAAAGTGCTCTGTGGCTGTCCCAACTCTTTGTGCCTCAGTTTCCTTAGATGACGTGAGCATAACAACAGTGCTCACCTGGTAAGGTGTGGGGTGGGGGACAGGGACCGTGGTGGGGACCCTCAAACAGCCCTGTGAGTTGGGGTTACGGGGGGCCATTTTAACAAAAGTCAAGTGATTTGCCCAAACCTAGAGCCAGGACCCCTGCCTGCCCCCCTGCTGCCCACTTCCTCACCCCTGGGTCAGTCACTTCTAAGTCCCCCATGCTCACGGGGCATGTCCCTGAGGGCTGACAGGAGGTGGTGTCTTCTGAGAAAAGGTAGTCCCCAAGCCTCACACCCAGCAGGCCCTGGGCCGTGCCCTGAGCCCCTTGCGCTGCCCCTGGTCTCCCTCCCACACCCCCCAGCACCTCACCTCTTGGTTGTTTCCCTCCGAGAAGTTGGGGACACATTCCACCAGGCGGGACATGGTCTGGGCCTTGGTCCTTGATGGGGACGCTTGTCTCACAGGGCAGCAGGCGGGCAGGAGGGACGGGCAGCTCCAGCGCCTGGTGGGGCCTTTATACTCCCCACTGAGCTGCTTATTAACCACCAGTCACAGTGGGGAGAGAGGGACAGGCAGAGCCCTGTGCAAACATGGAGCCGTCCAGGGAGGGGCAGAGCCAGGACACCCATGACACTGACGGAGGAGGAGGGATCACTGTGCCGGGGGGGGGGGGGGCTGAGAGAAGAGCCTGTGACCGGACCCCTCAATGGGGAAAAGTCATCCCCACACTGTGACCTCAGGTCAGCACAGACTCCAATCCCAGCGTGGCCCACAGCCGCCTGGTGGCCATCTGTGTGACCTCACTCATGACACTCTGGGTGACCCTCTGGGCCTCTGTTTCTTCATGTAAATGCTCCAGCCTCAGGGAGTCCAGGGGACAAGGAGGGGCTGCAAGGCCCCAGCCCTGGCCCAGCTCTCTGCTCTGGGCAGAGCTCAGCTGTCAGGCAGGGCCTGGGAGGGGAGTGCACGTGTGCAAGTGCGTGGGTCCCCGGCGGGGCAGGTGGCCAGCCGAGGCCCCAGCTCGCCGAGGACGGAGGTTTCCCATGAAAGGGCAGCTCGACCCTGACCAGCAGCACAGGGGGACAACGTCTTGAAGTTCTTGATGATTTTTAATCAGAGTGGGAGTTTTGTTCTGCAAAGGCCCACCAATCACGGGGCCATCCTGATAGCACATGGACACCCCACAGGCCCCTCCCAGGTGCAGGCGCCCCACAAGCCTTTGGGGCACTCACTGTCTGAGGCTACTTCGCCCCTAGGCAGTCACTGTGGGGCCAGGGAGAGGAGGTGCCCAGATCTCTCGGATCCCCAGCCCTGTGGGCCTTGGGGAGCCCCCCTCTCCAGCGGCGGCTCATCACCCTGGAGCAGCCAGGCGAGCCCAGAGGCCCTCAGAGGCTGGGGACAGGCTGAGTCCTCTCCAGCCATGGCTCCCCTGGGTGAATGTGGGTGACCGTGCATGAAAGCCATGCCACCTCCACGTCCCATGAGGGGCTGTGAGAGTCTAAGCAGAACCTGGCTGATGGCAAAGGTCCAGCAAGGGCAGCTCTCCAAACCCAGCCCCCACTCCAGGCCTCACCTGGAGAGAGCCTCAGCCCGGGGGGCTCCCAGAAGTGCCTGCTAGCCCTCCTTGGCAGATGGCCCTGGAGCTGCACTTGTGCACCTGGAGAGACCCCCAAGCAGCGGGAAGTCCCTCAGCCAGAGGTCGGTGTCCAGTGGCTGGGAGGGGAGGATGGGGGCCTGTTATGGAATGAATCATGACCCCCAAATTTATACACTGAAGCCCTAACCCCTAAAGTGACTATTTGGGGGAGGGTCTTTACAGAGGTAATTAGATTAAAATGAGGTCACTGGGGTGGCCCTGATCAAACATGACTGGTGTCTTTATGGGAAGAGATCAGGACACAGACACAAAGGGACGACCACGTGAGGACAGAGAGAAGACAGCGTCTGCTCACCCAGGAGCGGCCACAGGAGGAACCAGCCCTGGGGCACCTGCGTCTCGGTTCCGGCCTCCAGGACTGGGACAGAATGAATGTGTTGTTTGAGCCCCTGGTCTGTGGTGTTTGTTGCAGCCGCCCAAACCGACAAAGACACGGTCCTAAGGTACTGGTGTCCAGGACACAACAGGTGTGGGAACCGAAGGACAGGTCACCCAAACTGGGGTTGGCCCAGAAACCCCGGCACCTTCACCCAGAGAAGTGACCAGACACACTACACTCGAAGCCAAACCCCAGGAAGGGGTCAGTGCCAAGCCCTGGTCCTGGCCCTGGGGCCCAGCAGGTCCCCTGCCCTCTCTAGGCCTCAGGAGACAAGGGGACCAGAAGTAGCGGTGCGCTGCCTGTGGGGACAGTCCTGGGCCGGGGCCTGGCCGCGCTGGAAACATAAGACGCAGGGCCTGGACCTGGGGTGACGCTGGCTTTTGAGTCATTAAACATTCTGGTAGGTGCTATAAATAGTTCCCGACTAGGGGGCTGTTTATGGGGAAAAGCCACCTCACCGGGCACCCAGGGCCTGCTGTCCAGCACCTTCTCCAATAAAAGGCACTACGGCTCCCGATTCCCCACCCGGGCAGGAAATCCATGCCCACGCCGTCCCCTTCCCTGGGTGGCGCCTGCTTCCTGAGTCACCTCCCAAACCGACTGCCCGCCCTGGGCTGGCCTCACAGACGCCCGAGCACATGGTAGTGTGGCCCACTCTCTGCGGTCACCGTATGGGAATTCCCGACTTGTGAACAAGGGGCTCCTGGTTTGATTTCACACAGACAGGGCCCTGCAGTCTTCGCGGCCATGCCGCCTGCACCCAAATCCTTGCCTCAGGCTCTGCGCTGGGACAGGTCCTCGAGGGTGAGTGGCCAGGGGCCCTTTTGAGCTGAAGCCCTTCCCCTCAGGCTCCATCCCGGCTCCATCTGGGCTCCGGTCCACAGGTACCAGGGGAACCTCCCGCGGGCCTCTCAGTGACCAAGGCGCTCGCCACGCCCTCAAAGAGCCAACGGTAAAGGCAGACAAGTAAACAGATGACTTTAATAAAGTGTGACAAGTGCCACGCAGGTGGGGCGCCCGGCGGGCGGCGGGCGCCTCGGGGTGCCGGCCCGTCCCGTGCCATCGCCTGCCTGCGGCCCAGGGCGCTCGCTCTGCGGGCGGACGCGGCCCTTCCCCCGGCCGGAGGGGACGCGCAGGAGGCACGGCGGCCCCCGGGTTTGGAACAAACACGTTTATTGCAGGAAAGGCTCACCAGGCGAAGAGCGGCTTGCCGTCCTCCTTGGAGAGCTCGCACAGGCAGTTCAGCAGCAGCAGCGAGTCGCCCAGGAACTTGGGGGGCACCACGTCGATGACCAGCTTGCGCAGGGCGGCCGGGCTGCCGTGCAGCGGGCTGGCGCGCAGGTCGGGCCGCTGCTTGAGGATGCCGTAGGTGTTGATGAGGAACTCGCTGAACGCGGGGTGCACGTCGCGGCTGTACCCCAGCCTCTCCAGGCGCGCCGTCAGCGCCACGTGGCGGTGCGTCAGCTCGCGCAGCTTCTTCTCGTCCACCGAGCCGTCCAGGGACTTGATGGACGTCTGGGGACACAGCGCGTGGGGTGGGCGGGGACAAGGACTGCCCCTCCACGCGGGAAGCTGTGCAGGTGGGAACAGGCCCAGAGCCAAGCCCCCGCCCCAGGGAGGGTGCCCTCCAGCGGAAGGTGACAGGGACAGAGCAGGGAGCCCCTCCTGGGAATGCAGGAGGCCGACACGCTCTGTGACCCGGGCGCCGCTCCTGAGACTGTCCCAGGCCACAAAGCGGACTGCGCCAGCCGAGGTGGCAGTGGCAGCAGGCTCAGCACGTGCCACATGCGTGAGCCTGGGACACCCCTCAGCCTCGCCCAGGCCCACAGCTGTGCAGGCACCGCAGGGGACAGGGCAGCGAGGGGACCCGGGGCAGGGAGGCACACCTGCTTGATCTTCTCGGGGATGTTGGACACGGTGAAGCCGTACAGCCGGGTCACCCCGGGGAAGACGTAGGCCAGGATGCGCCGGTCCAGCTGGAAGGCGATCTCCCCGACGACGCGCCCGTCCTTCTCTGCGCTGGTGACGCTCTGGATCTCTGTGGTGGGGGTGGGAGGGGGTGAAACCGGCTGTCCCCAACACGAGGTCAAGGGCCACCCGCTCCTGCTGCCTGTGTTCCAGGACCCATTGCGGGGAAAGGACAGCCCTAGACGCAGCCGCTGCAGCTTCCCGGTGAAGCCGCAGGAACTGTGGACAGGGGCTCCCCAAGGGCCTGGTCCTGACCGCGGCGTGAGGCGCCCTCCTGCCCACCCCACTGCGAGGGGAAATACACAGTTAAAAGAAAACTGAATCTTCGGTTCCCAAACAGAAAGGGACCTTCCCTCTCCTCCCTTTTTCTTAGCGTGTCCCCTGGGAAACCTGGGGTGCTACCTCCTTTCTCTGTCCCTTTGAGAAGACGAAAACATTTCAAGGGACCCTATTCTGGGTCCCTTGTGTTTCCCTCTGAATGTTAGGATAAACTTGTCCGTTTCTGCAAAGAAGCCAACTGGGACTTTGATAGCGATTGCATTAAAATCTGTGGATCAATTTGGGGAGTTCTGCCATCTTAATGATACTGTCGTCTAATCTGTGAACACAAATTGTCTTCCCATTTATTTAGTTCTTCTTTAATTTCTTTCAACAATGTTTTGTAGTTGTCAGTGTAGTCCTTCCCTAATCACTTTGCAAGGCTACAGAAGTTACCCAGGAATTGAAGCTGAGAACCAGACACAACACACAGAAGCAAGTTACATCAGATGAGGAACATGGAGGAACAGGGTGCAACCCCACTGCTGTACCAATGCATCCCTCTCATCAGGAATCAGAATCGGTACCCCTCCCTTCCTCCCTCCCTCTCTCTCTAAAGCATAAATTAGGTGGAAGAAATGAGCTACCCCTGAGATGTTCTAGAGATCGTTTGTAGTCCAACCTGGGCCTTCCAAGATTAGCCAGAAACCTATTCTTCAAAGAAAAAAGTCAATAAAATTGATAAACCTCTTTTATTACAAAAAAAAAAGGATAAGACAGAAATTACCACTATCAGAAACTAGAGATTGCATCACCACAGATCCTACAGATGTTAAAAGGATAAAACAGAAAATTAGGAACAACTTTATGCCAATAAATTTGACAACTTAGATGAAATGAACCAATTCCTTAAAAGACACAAATGCCAATTTTTGTGATAGAACTATCAAAGCACACTTAAGAAGAAATAGATTATTTGAATAGCTTTATATCAACTAAGGAAATTGAATTTGTGGAAGGGAAATATTCCTACAAAGAAAATTCAAGGCTGAGATTAAGAAGTATAGATTGGTAGTTACAACACAGCCATGGGGAGGTAGGGTACAGCACCGGGAATCTAGTCGATGGGATGGTAATAACTATGTATGGTGTCAGGTGGGGACTAGACTTATTGGGGTGATCACTTCGTAAGTTATATAAATGTCTCACCGCTATGCTGTGCTCCTGAAACTAATATAAAATAATGTTGAATGTCAACTGTAATTGAAAAACATAAATAATTTAAAAAATAAAATAAAAAGCAACAACAAAAAAGAAAATTCAAGGCTCTGTAGTAAATTTTACCAAACATCTAAGGAATAAATAATACCAATTCTATACACCGTATCCCAGATAATTAAAGAAGATGGCGCACTTTTCACCTCACTCACTGAGGCCAACACTAACCTGTTACCAAAATGAGAAAATGACATTGTGAAAAACTATAAACCAATGTCCCTCACAGACAGCAAATATTCTTAACAAAAATGTAGCAAATTCAATCCAACAGTACAGAAAATTAGAATACATCATGACCAAGCAGGATTTATTTCAGGAATGCAAGGGTAGTTTTAAAATTCAAAAATCAATCAATTTGCCATAGTAATACACTAAAAGTGAAAACCAATTGCTCATCCCAACAGATGCAGAAAAACATTCAATCAAGTCCAACGCCACTCATGACAATCAATTCTAAGCAAACTAGAAAGTACAGAGCAGTTCCTCAACCTGATGAAGGTGTCTAAAAACCATAGCTAACATTGTCCTTAATTGGGACAGACTGAATGCTTTTCCCTAAATCAGGAAAAGAAACAATGCCCACTGTCACCATTTCTAGTCAACATTGTTCCAGAGGTTCTAGCTAATGCAATACCTTTCTCTCTCTCTCTCTCTCTCACACACACACACACACACACACACACACGAAACAGTACATAGGTTAGAAATGAAAAGATAATCTTGTCTTTATTCACAGTCAGCACAGTCATCAATCCTAAGGAATCTTCTTTTAAAAGCTGCTGGGACAGGACCCGCCGAGTGGTGCGTTGGTTAAGAGCTGGCTTGGGACACCAGCTCTGAGCAGCAGGGCCCCGGTTCGGATCCCACATGAGGGCCAATGATGCTGCGCCCTCTACAGCTAAGATGGTGAACAACAGCTCAACCTGGAGCTGAGCTGCAGTGAGTTGCCGGCAAAGGTGTAGGCTGCAGCCTTTGCTACAGCGGGCTGCCATAAGCTACCGTGTTTGTGGCCGGCAGCCGGTGTGAGCTGCCAAGAGCCACTGTGAGCGGCCATCCAGAGGCTGGCGACCGATCTGCCTCACCCGGGAAGAGTGCAATGATACCAACATGGGCCAGTGAAGCAACATCTTCCACAACTAGACTGACGAAGAAAAGGACAGCAACTTGTCTGTTCCCCTTCCCCAATTCCCCAATGTTGTTCCCCTCCCCCAATTCCCCAATAAAATCTTTTAAAAAAAAGTATTTTTCAAAAAAAAAAAAAAGGCTGCCTGGGACAAATGGTTGAGTTCAGTAAGTTTGCAGGATACAAATTTACATTTGTCAGGATTCTCCAGAAAATACTGTAATGAAAATGGAACTGTCATAAACTGGGCGACCCTATTTGCAGAACACATACTCAGAAAGGACTTGTATCCAAACTATATAAAGAACACCTACAACTCGATAAGATGAGCAACTCAGTTTTCTTTAAATGGGTAGAAGATTTGAATAGATACAGCCCCGGACCCTGGCTTCCCAGCCACCTGGTCTTCCCTGTGCTGGGTGGATGGAGCTGCTGTGCCCAGTTGGCCGCCCCAACTGCCAGCCACTATGCCTGGTGCCCACAGGTGCCTGCCCCCCACCATACCGTTCAGGTAGTAAGTCCTCCTGGTCCTGTCCCCCAAGGGCAGGCTGCTCTCCGAGAAGCACACCTTCTTGGACTGGGCCATCTCCCTGGGCTCCAGCAGGCCCTTGTCCACCAGCGGGTCCTGCAGAGAGGTCAGCAGCGGGGACAGCTTCCGGTCAGCGCTCCGGGGCCCCCGTGGCTCCACAGGGCTGAGGAAAGCCTTGAAGGATGCCTGGGAAGAGGTTGCACAGCCAGGGGAGGCGGCATTGCTGGAGTGGGGGGCGTGCAAGCACAGCAGGTCCTCCAAGGAGGACGTCTGCAGCTGGAGGGGCACGTCCGGGGTGCTGGCGAACCTTCCCAGCTCTGGAACTGCGACAGAGAGGAAAGAGAAGAGCAGTCAGGCTGCTGTCCCCAAACACCCCAGAGGTGCAGAGAGCACTTTGAGAACACGCCCCCCCGCCTCCCTCTCCCCTCCCCGACACCTGCTCTCATCCTCCATCTCCAAAGCTCCCCGCTTCCCCTCTGGAGAAGGTGCCCAATGGGGCTGATGGGGCTGTGGGCCCCGCCACTTCCCAAGGAAGCCGCCAGCCCCGTGTTTATGGGCACAGCAAGCGTGCTGGCCCCTGTACGTTCCCATCCACCTGTGTGTCCACAGTACAGTGACCTTGATATGCTTTTTCATGTCTGCATAAATGGTGTCGTCCAATGCACGTTTTGTTCTGCAGCACGCCTTCTGGCTGCACCATTATCTTGCCTGAGGCTTACCCATATTGAGTCACCTACAGCTACCTGGTTCCTTTAACCATTTCGTGTGGCACGCGGTGCATATGCACACTCAAGCCCAGCGGTTTTTCTGTCCGGTTCCCCCGAGGCACATGGGCTGTTTCCAGGTCTCCATGTAAAAGCCAAGCTGTGATCAGTGTCCCTTGGCCTGCCCCCTTGCTCGCAGCGTCCACACCTGGGCTCAGGTGTATGCACACTGACCTCGGTTTTCTACAACAGTGCTGGCAGTGCCCTGTGACCAGCGGCTTCTGACCCACACGCTCATCACCCCTTGGCATGGGCAGCTGGGCTGAGGATGACACGTGGCTTTTCCTTGACTCCTGGTGAGCTGTATGTGTTCATGTGATCATGGGCCTCTCTGGTAGAGACTATGAATTATCTACGCCTCTTCTTTGCTCATTTTGGGGGTTGGGTAGTTGTCTTAATTATTTGTAGCAGCTCCTTTTGCATTCTGCATACAAATGCCTTGTTGGTGAAATGTACCACTCCCCGCCTTGCCTTAGGAAGTGGCTGGACATAGGACGGGTATTTATAAATCAACAGCTTTCCAAAATATGTCAACTCTGATGACTCAAAACATACAATGGAAAAAGAAAACGTAATTGTAAGGAATAACAAGAGGTTCCCCACGAATAAACTTACTGACAAGGGCAAAGATTTACATGTGAGAAGTAAAGATACTTGGAGGACAGGAAGGCAACTCAGCTTCAGCCAGAAGGGGCTGGGGGGGGGCGGGGGCTCTGGGCATGCACAGAAAAATATAACAGATACAGAACCACAGGCAAGGGGAGGAAGAAATCTGGGGAACAAAGCTTCCTTGCCCCCCAGCCAGCGCTCCTGCTTTCAGGGAAACACACCCTAAGGAAATAACCCCAAATACGAAAGGTTTTGCTGTGTTATTTACCTCAGGGTAAGAAAGAACAAATTTCAAACATGAAGAGAAGACTTCATTAAACTGGTCAGAATGCTGCACAGACATAACCGTGCCACGGCGTTAAGGAGACAGAGAGTTGTACATAGAGAATATTCCAAACTGCTTAAAATCACCTCCACCCAAAACAAGGAAGAATCAAGTGAGTGGCTGAAGGACCCCGAGCTGAGGCGGAGGCCGTGCGTGGGCAGCCTGCCATTCCCTCTGGTTCCTTTGAAAATGTGCATCATGTGCTGGGAAACCCAAACAGGCCGGCAGGAGCGTGTGGGCCTTTTCCCGGGCGCAGGCGGGGCTGTCCTGCGAAGCCCGGTGTCCAAAAGGTGCTGAAAGGCTCCTCCTCTGGCAGAGTGCCGAGGCCACTGCCTCCTGCAGAGATTTGTCTGTTTCAACATTTCAACCACACACGGCCTTTGACCCACGGACTTCTGGGCAGTCACCCCGCAGCTGGTCGCAGAGGCACACGTGAGGGCAGAGCTGGGAGGGCTGGGAGGGCGCTGCCTATCATGGGGGCAGGCTGAGCTGTTCCCCGGGGTCAAGTGCATTTAGATCTACGGTGGAGAACGACCGAGAGGCGACGGCAGGGAGATGCCCGGTTGCAGCAAATTAAAGTCAAAGCAAAGATGCCTCGATACATCCATGAACACCGGTCAGGCGTGCCAGAATCAAGCACGAGTGGACAGAGGCTGGCTGCCTTTGGCGGGGGGTGGCCAGGAGCACACGCTCAGCCTTAAAGGATACAGCTTCCTGGGTATTGCTGAGTTTCGCTCGAGTGCATGTGGCTGAGTAAGAAACATGGGTTTTTAAAGCATATTCTGTTTGGAAGGCAGAGGCTGAGGGACTGTGGGAACTGTGAGCCACTGCTGAGAGGTTCCCTCTCTAACAAACTGCTGCTGCTTGTGCAGGAGCTCCTGCTGGTTCTCTGAGCTCCAGACCCCAGGTCCCGGCTGCAGCCCAGAAGTTGAGAGTTGGGGCCCAGCCTGGATGCAGCCGTCATGGGGGTTGCCCAGACCAGAGCCGAGGGCCACCCCTGAGGATGGCGGCACCCACGCTGACCTTGGCACACACCCTGCACTGGGCCTTCAAGGCCTCTCTGTGGAAGCTTGGTGGCCTCAGCTGGCCAGGGGCTGGGACTCCCCCTAAGGCTGGTGTCCAGCAAGATCTGGGCTTGTCCCTGGCCTGACTTTACTCTTAGAATGAAAGACAACAAAGCAGCATAAGGCACATGACTCAGCAGCTGTCACAGGCCGGCAAGGCTTGGGGACAGGTGTCTTTTGGCAGCCACCACACGCTAGACATTCCTAGTGGCCTGAGAAGCAGCACTGACCCTTAGCAGGCTGTCACATCCAGGACACAGCACGGAGTCCAGTCCCTCCTCAGCAAACGTCTGGGGACAAACATGTGCCTTGCCTGCTGGTGAGAGTTCAGGCCACAGGGCTGCGGTTGGGGGACAGGGTTTTCCCAGCTGCCCCTCCTGGTGCGTCGCTCTCTCCCTGCCACCCCCCACGAGGACCCCATGCTTATCTGCGCTCCTTCTACCAGCTCCCCTTGAGGCTCAAGATCTCCAGATGCTATGAAGAGCCCTTGCATCCCAGGACTTCACACCCAGGAGCTCCACGCAGCCACTGTCCACATGTGCTGTGCTTGTTTGGAGGTGGGGACAGGCATTCCAATGACTCTGGGAAGTGACCACAGTCCACACAGGGCCCAGCAGCCAGTTCCAAGAGTGTCCCGCTGGGGGACCGGCAGCAGCTTTGCAAACAGCGTCCGTGGCGGGAAACATCGCACACTCAGCTGAACGGCTCGTCCTGTGATAGCGGGTCCCAGGGCATCGGCCAGGACAGTCGTTCCGCCATGGTCACTGAGCAGGCCCGGTGTGTCCTCTGGCCACCCGGTCAGGTGGCGTGAGCCGGGCCCATTTCTGAGCTCTCACTTGGTCACAGGGCTCCGTCCATGGCCCACGTAGAAACCATCCCTGCCCACCAACCATGCCTAAGTCAGGCTCCCCAGGTGTGAAAGGGAGTTTTCCCATGTAAATATTTAAAACGGCACCAACTACTTTCGCAGCAAGTGATCAAAGCCTGTGAGACTGTTGGCGTGGGTACTATGCGGGGAGCTGGGTTACAGCTGTGTGCTCCCAAGCACCCGCCACACAGGTGCCTCTGCAGGGCCTTCCCGCCCCAGTGGTGCTTCCAGCCCTTGGCGCTGGCCCAGCCATGTGACTTGCTCTGGCTGATGTGCGTGAGCAGAGGAAACGGCAGCAGCTCGATGCTAGTGTGGTTGGAACATCTGCCCTGTGGTGACACCAGCAGGCCCGGGCCAGCCTGCTGGTCCCAGGGAGGTGTCCGCAGCAGAGTGCAGTGCCGCCTGGCTGGGCTGACACCAGGGGACCTGTGTTCAGCCACCATGGCAACGCTGTGCACTGTCACTGACGGTTACACCCACCAGCCAAGTGACCAAGCCAACTGCACCCGTCTTCCAGGTGTGGACTTTCAGCCTCAGGGAGGAGAAGGCCTCGCCTAAAGACACACAGCAGAATGGGCGCCTGGGGCCTGAGGGAAGGGGGCCGGGCACAGGACCATCTGCGGGAGTAGCCTCACCTGCGGTGCCCGGGGAGCAGCCCTCGGGGTAGGTGGGTGCCTTGGCCAACAGGGCGTCGCGGGCCCCACGGCCACTGTCGGGGCAGCTCTCGCTCAGCAGGCGCTTCAGCATCTGGTTCTCCTTCAGCAGCCGCACCTGCCTCTTCAGGTCGGCGTTCTCACTCAGCAGCCTGTCCATCAGCTCGCCCCCCTCAGCCATGGCCACGCCTCGGTGCTCACCCCATGCAGGTGGTGCCCAGACCCCGAGTTCCAGGGCCTTGTGATGTCACCTTAAAGAGGCGGCGCCGCCTGCCGCCCCATCACCCTGAAATCCCAGTTCTTTCCGGGCCCAGGAAAACCCTCTGGGTGCCATGGCCCCAGCCTCCGGCCTAGGCATCTGCCAGTTTTCTCATGGTGACACGCCCGGTCCTTTTAATGTGCACGGATTCAACTTACTGATATTCTGTTAAGGGTTTTCCGTGTTTGTGAGGAAAGCTGACCTGTGTCTCCTCTTCTGTAATGCCTTGGTCTGGTTTTGCGATCGCGGTCATACTGACCTTATAAAATGACTTGCAAAGTGTTTCCTCCTCCTCTATTTTCTGGGTATTTGGGTTAGTTCCTTTTTTTAATGTTGGATAAATTCACCAGTGAAGCCATCTGAGCTTAGAGTTTTCTTCTGGGAAAGTTTTGAATTTGTTTTTGAAATACATATAAGGCCACTTAAAATTTCCTTTTCTTCTCATGTCCATCTAAATAGCAGTGGTGTCTTTGAAGGAATCTAGCCATGTCATCTATGTTGTGGAATGCTGGCATTAAGTGATAGTCCCTTACTAGCCCCTCTGCAGTCTTCCTCCTGGGAGGACAAACAGATCCCATCAAGGCAGAAGCCACAGTGGGGAAGAGCAGAAACAGCACCGGCAGGATTCTGCAGCATCCGGATGTGAGGCAAACCGGACAAATGGGAACACTGTGATCCAGAAAGAAGGGGGCAGGCTGGACAGTAAGCCAGGGTGACCAGGCCAGGTCAGCAGGCCTGGGGTGTGACCAGGCCAGGTCAGCATGTCCAGGGCGACCAGGTCAGCAGGCCTGGGGTGTGACCAGGCCAGGTCAGCATGTCCAGGGCGACCAGGTCAGCAGGCCTGGGGTGTGACCAGGCCCGAGCAGCAGGCTCAGAAGGGCAAGTTGGACAGCTGGCTTTATGTCTGTAGGATCTATAGTGATGCACCCTTTCCATTCCTAATATACGGTATTTTCTTTCTCATTTGATCAGACTAGAGGCTTGCTAATTCTTTCACAGCATCAACTTTTGGTTTCATTAGTCTTCTCTATTGTTTTCTGTATCATTTTACCTCTATCTATTGTTTCCTATCTTCTAATATTTAAGATTTAAGATCCTTAAGATGAACACTTATATCACTGATTCTAAACTTTAATTACAGCACTAATATATAAGCCTATAAACATTTCTCTAAGCACGGCTTTAGCTACATCCCACAAACTTTAATGTCACGTCTTTATTTTCACTCAGCTTGAAATATTTTCTAATTGCCTATTTAAATTAAAAATTAAAAGCTGCTTTTATTTTTGACCATAGGTAATTTAGAAGTATATTGTTTAATTTCCAAATATGTGGGATTTTCTAAATCTTTCTGTTACTGATTTCTAATTAATTCCACTGTGATCAGGGAATATGCTCGGCATGGTTTCAATCCTTTTGAATTCCTTGAGACTCATCTCATGACCCAGCACATGGCCAATCTTAGTGAATGGTCCACAAGGACTTGATAAGAATGTGAGATGAAGTCTTCTATAAATGCCAGTGACCTCAAGTTGTTGATTTTGTCTACAGTTGCTGAGACAAGTGTTGAAATCTTCCACGTTGTCTATTTGTCTAATTCTCTCCTTAGTTCCACCAGTTTTTGCTTCATGTATTTTGAAGCTGTTATTAAGTGCATATACATTCAGGATTGTTTCATCTTTTTTTTTTTCTTTTAAAGATTTTATTGGGAAATTGGGGGAGGAGAACAGCGCTGGGGAATTGGGGGAGGGGAACAGACAAGTTGCTGTCCCTTTGTTCTTCAGTCTATTTGTGGAGGATGTCGCTTCACTGGCCCGTGTTGGCATTAACATTGCGCTCTTTCCGGCTGAGGCAGATCAGTCGCCAACCACTGGACAGCTGCTCACGGTGGCTTTTGGCAGCTCACTCGGTGGCTCTTGGCAGCTCACCCGGGCTGCCAGCGGCTCATGGTAACTTTTTACAGCAGCCCACTGTTGCCCCACTGCAGCCTACGCTGTCACCGGCGCCTCACGGCAGCCCAGCTCCAGGTTGAGCTGTTGTTCACCATCTTAGCTGTAGAGGGCACAGTGTCACTGGCCCTCATGTGGAATCTGAACCGGGGCCCTGCTGCTCAGAGCTGGCCCCCAAGCCAGCACTTAACCAACGTGTCACTCAGCCAGCCCTGTTTTATCTTCTTGATGAATTAATATTCTTATCATCATCTATTTCTGGTACTATTCCTTTTCCCAAAATCTGCTTTGATATTATGGCACTTTTGCTTTTTTATGATTAATATTCTTATGTTATATATTTTCCTAAACTTTTACTCTTATCCTGTATTTTAAAGTTTCTTTTATTCTTTGTTTCTTACAAATATATGGGTCATGCCTTTTCATTGTAAATGTAACAATCTCTGCCTTTTACTGGAGTGCTTAGCCCTTTACAATTAATACAATTATTTGAATGGTTGGTATATTAACCTCCTCGGGCTGCCATAACAAAACATCAGACTAAGGGCTTAAGCAACAACAGCTTATTTTCTCACAGGTCTGGAAGCTCCAAGAACTGTCTGTTCCAGATCCAGGTGTGGGCAGGGCTGGTTCCTCCTGCGCCCTCTCCTGGGTGTGCTGGTTCCTCACACGGTCGTCTGTCTGTGCATCAGTGCTCCTGGTGTGTCTCCTTATAAAGACAGCAGGCCTGTCGATTAGGAGCTCACATGTATGACCTCGTTTAATCTTAATTATCTCCTTAAAGATCCTGTCTCCTAATTTAGTCACATGTGAATTTGGGGGAACAAAATTCAATCCACATGAGTTTGGTTTAAGTCAATTATCTTGTTTTCTATTTGTCCAAATTATTCTTTGTTCTTTTTCCTGACTTCTTTTGGATTATTTTATCTCCTCTTTGTCCTTTTAGTGGTTTACTCTAGGGTTTATATTAGGTATCTTTTACTTATCACAATCTACCTTTAAATAATGCACCACTTCATGTATGAGGTAAGAACCCCACAGCAGCACACATCCTTCCTCCTCCAAAATCCTCCATTACTGATCTTAGCTTTTCCATCTTCTTGTGTAAAAAACACATTATTTTTGCTTTTAAAAGTTAATCATATTCTAAAAACATTGTTTAAACAACAGGGGAAAAGTCACCCATATTTACCAGATTTACCATTTCTGGTCTCTTCATTCTTTGGTGAAGACCAATTTCCACCTGGTATCACTTTCCTTCAGCCTAAACAACTGAGTATCTCTTGTAGGACAAGGCTGCTGGGAAATTCCTTCAGCTCTGGTTTTTGTCTCTCTGAATATGGAATTTTAAGTTGACCTTATTTTTTTTTTCAACACATTAAAGATGTCATTCCACTCTTCTGGCTTGCACTGCTCCTGTGGACGGTGGCCCTCATCCTTATCTTTGCTCACTTGTAAGTGACATGTCTGTTTTTGTTTAAGACTTTTATTCATCATTGGTTTTCATCAGTCTGGCTATGCTGTGCTCTCCTGGTTTTGCTGGGGTTTTTTGTCTGCTACAAGCCTGCTGAGCTTCATGGGTCTCTGGGCTTATATATTTCATCATATTTGAAAGAACTTCAGCCATTACTTTGGAAGTTTCTCTGCCTCCCTCCCTCCATTTCCTGGGACTTCCATTATACGTATGTTAGACAACTCACTACTATCCAAGGGGGTCACCGAGGCTGGTTTGTTTTGCTTTTGAAGTCTCCTGGCCACCACAGGCATGTCAGTGCTCCCCTATTCCTGGGTGGCCAGGGGACGGCCCTGCTCCTGTAGTTTCCCAAGAACCAGAGGGGACACCAGTGACCATGAGGTCTCAGGCTCATTGCCTCTCACGCCCATAATGGGCCTGGCTGTGGGGCACGTGTCTAACGCTGCCCAGCGCCATGCAAACCAGCTGTTCTCCACTTGTGTCACGCAAGGGTCTCAGACACCCCGTGGGGCATCGCTGTACCATGAAAAGCTGGAAATCACCTGCTCTCAGTAAAAGTCACTACATGGAAACTAACGGATTACTTTCACTAAAGACAAGGAACTCTGAAGCTACCACATCAACCTCACTCTCCTGAGCGAAGGCATCAGATTCCAAGGGCAAACCCCAGGCTCAGAGGTCACACATCATGAGAAGCCCGAGGCCAAGAATGGCTGCCCAGCGCTCATGGTGAGTCCCCCCCACTCTACAGCTGCCCCTCAGCCTTGTCCTCTGCCCAAGGGCACTGTGCTTGTGGATTCTGCCGACCAGATGTCCTGTGAAGTGCTGTGAGGAACGGCAGTCAGTGCCACGGGCATGTACTCTGCTCTGGGGTTCTTACACTCACCCCCTCTCCAGCTGCTCCTAGAAAGTAAAACACTGACTCTGGGGGCCAAGGACAGTAACTAACCAGGCCCCTGACACATATCGTGGGTGCCGACACCCCTCCCAGCCCATCTGAATTTCCTGCCCGTGTGTCCCTTTGCCTTGTGTCTCTAACCTTAATTCCTTCTTGAAACAAAGTGAATTACAAATTTGAGTTCATATGGCAGGTGGAGATGAAAATGAATGAAGCTGACCAGTGAGCCCATGATTCTTACAGAGCTCTGAGATGCGGAGGAAGCAACAGTAGGTGGCACTGACTCTTCACACATTTTTATTGCCTAAATCAAATTAAGTCTGTGTAACAATAGTGATTCTGTTCAGTCAGGAAAATAATTTTCCTAGAGGGAAGTTCCCACTGTGAGTCAGTCACATATTTCTAGTTAAAGAATCCCTCAAAGGGAAGGGTGTGAAGTACATCACGGTGAACACAGAAAAACCTACTATGGCCAAGAGAAAGTTTCCCAGCATAATACAGAAAATCTCCTCAATCAGAAAGAAATACCGTGTGATCTCATTTATGTGTGGAATCTAAAAAACAAAATAAATGAACACACAAAAGCAGACTCAAAGACAGAACAAACTGACGGCTGCCCGACGGGAGGGTGGTTGCGGAGCTGGGTGAGGGGGCGGGGTCAGGAAGCAGATCGGCAGTTACAGAGCAGTCACGGGGCTGCAACGCACAGCACAGGGAATACAGTCAATAACATGGAAAGACTGGTGTCGGGTGGGGACTGGACTAATAGGGGGATCACTATGTAAGTTATATAAATGTCTAACTGCTATGCTGTGCACCTGAAACAAATATAATATTGAATGTAAACCTGGAAAAGAAAAAACTTCCAAATTTTTAAAAAAGGGGGCAAGAGCAAACCCAGCAGATCTCAAAGGGATTCAACACGGTTCCGTCACCAGACAGACCCGAGTGAAATGTCTGAGCAGCAGGCACCCAGTGAACTCCGGCTCTGTGCCAGTGTGGCAGCCTGTGGGGCCGGCCGGCCCTGCAGGGCTCAGAGCAGGCAGAAGCGGGACCCCAGGGGCGAAAGGTCAGGGGAGGGGAAGCTCAGGCGAGGGCCCTGAAGCCAGCGAGTGCCCGATGGTCAGGGACAGTGCCCCAGGGTCACGAGGGCTGCAAGAAGAAGGCCACGTGTGGGAAGCCTCGGCGAGAGCCCTACTAGTCTCTGGGCTGGGAACGACAGGGGCAGAGGGGCATCCGGGTGGTTCTCCACTGTCCGGGGAGAGCACAGCAGCTGCCGCCTGTGCAGGGGGTGGTACACAGGAACTGCAGGTAGAGGTGGCGCTGGGTGGGGCTTTGGGCTTTATTCTCACCAGAGCTCTTGGTGTCTCCACAGCTCCATCCCCAGGGAGGCCCTGAGCACGAGAGATGCCTGTCCGTGTAGGTCAAGGGCAAACCCACACCTGGACTCCCGAATCCGAGCCCCCAGTCCCTGCCTGGCAAACCAGGCAGGTTTAGAAACCAGAGGGCAACTTGCCAAAAGGCATCGCCCGGAAGTCACTCCCACTTGAGCTCAGAGCAGACAGGGACAGGAGGGTCTCGGCAGCCACGAGGGTGACCTGGGTGTCACGCCTACCTGGCCGGCTACAGGAGCGGTGACAGACTGGGGTGCAGAGCAGTGCCACACCGGGTAACCACAGAGCTGTTGATGCCCGGTCAGCCTGTCATGCTTGGTCTCCCTGAGAATTTGTCGTTACAGGACGACTATAAACCCTGGAGGTGGGATGCTGGCACCCACGCTGGCAGCACCGTGGTATCGCATGGGCAAACGAGATCAGGGGCAGGTCGGCGAGCCCTGCTGTTCCCCACGCCTCGCCAAGCCCGTGGCCTCTCCCCACCAGGCTGCTTAGGAAAGCCGACACGTTCCTCAGCCCAAGGGGCAGCAGACGCAGGAAGAGCCGGCCTGGGGTGAGCCCAGCACCGGGACGGGGCAGACTGCTCCTCTCCTGAGAACTGTCATCAAGGAAGCCCTCCCAGCCCAGTGCCCATGGCGAGGACACACCACGCTGTACCCTCTGCAGTGTCACAGCTCATCGTGTCCCTTCCCTCATCTGGGCCCATCGAGCTTTTCTCAAAGCTAAGCTAAATATAAAGCGTCTAAACTGCCAGCACCCACCCGCCTGGCCTGGTCCCAGGACTAACTCCGGAAGTGGGGAGTGCAAGGCAGGGAGACAGGGGTCATACCAGCCACCCACCCGCCAGGCGCCCACCGGCCTGCTCTCAAGGGTGGCCTGCGAGGGCGCTATCAGGGTGCAGGCGTGAGAAGCGGCCGAGGGCCCAGATGGGGAAGACGTTCCTGTAGCTCGTGTAGCTGATGGCACAGGTCTTGTTGAAGACGCCAGAGATGTTCTCCTGAGAGGACAGGACACAGGGCCTTCAACACAAAGCTCCACCAGGCGGCTGAGGGGCAGGGCTGGCTGGGGAGAGCCGCACTGGCTCTCTGCAGAAAGTCACCCCGCCAGTCAGCCCGCTTCCCTCGCCCTGCAGCAAACCCTCCAGCCTGGCCACCAGCCTTGCACAGCTGTGTCTGCCCCACTCATCCAGGGCAGGGTGGCGACCCCGGCCCCATGCACAGGCAGAGTGGGCTGCAGGCCTCCCAGCACCACCAGCCCTGCCCCCACCCACTGCCTCAGTTGCCAACAGCAAGGTCCTCGGCCTCCTGCCGCAGCTCTGCTCTCAACAGGCCACTCGCTGGTGGTGGTTCCAAATCTAATCCCCACAGCCAGGCCCTGCCCGTGAGCAGCCCGTGGGGACATGGGGAGTTGGGCCCGGTGCTGGGCCCGCAGTGTACCTGGGGCCAGTCGCCATTGGGGAGCTGTTTTCTCAGCAGACACCGGACTCCTCTCTCCAGCGCCTCCACGCCAGGATGCCTGCGGGAGCGGGACAGTGACCATGCGGGAACAGCGTGTGACATGGCCCTCGGCTGCAGCCAGAACCCAGGCCTAACACCTGCAGCGCCACCCGGACAAGGACGTGAAACACCGCATGATGACAGACCACCTAACAGACACACATGAGGGGTCATACCCACTAGGGGCAGTCAGCACCCCTCAGGCCATCGCTACACAGGTAAAGCCTGAGAGGTTTAGACGCAGCATGCACGGAGGTGAGCAGGCCAGGTGGGCAGCCCATGGAGGTGGCCGGGGAGAAGCCAAGCCTGTGCCCACCCAGCCCACATCCTCATGTCGTTGCTCATCCTGGCGAGGGTGACACACCGGAGAATCGTGAGTTCAGGACCAACTCGGCTGTGGGGGGCAGGCTGGTGGCTGGTCCCCGACACCGTCCTGGGTGCGCACAGACTGCCCCTGCTGCCTCCACTGGCCTGGCCTTGTGGGGCTCTTAGGAGATGTCCCAAATGGCCCCACACCCAACAGGGTTGCAGAGACTAGGACGCTGCATATGTGTGTGTGTACACCTGTGGTTTTGCATATTTCTGCACGTGTGCACATCTGTGTGTGCGTGTGCCTGTGCAGCCACGTGTGTCCACATGGTTTAGCACTGACTGTGGACATTGGCGGGCCCATGCGGAGCAGCCGCCACACCTTAAACTGCTTACCCGGGGCCTCTCGTGCCCCTTGCCGTCACTGTGGGTGCTGAGCCTCTTTGCAGGAGCCCACTGGCTTGCACAGACCTAGGGGCCTGCCCAGGAACCCGGGGTGCAGCCCTGCACTCGGAGCTCAGCCGCCCACACCCACCCAGCCACCACGTCCAGCGTCCTTCCTTTGCCCGCCCCACCTGACGGCCATCAGCCCCATCAGGGCCCAGCATGTGTTGTGGATCTGGGACTGGCCGCTCTGCACATAACGCCGCTGCTCACAGGACTCAAAGTCCTCCCCCCAGCCTCCGTCCGCCATCTGCCGGGAAAGCAGGAAGTCGCAGGCCTTCGAGACCTCCCCGCAGGCAGCCCTGCAGAGAGCAGACACGAGACGCCATCACGCAAGAAGTGTCCTGGGCTCCTGGGTTCTCACCCTGACCCGGCCTCCTTAGGGCCATGGGGTGAGGCGGCTGCACTCAAGGCCACCCCGCCATGGGTGTGATGGGGGACAGATAAAGTGACATGCGTTGCAGCTGCCAATGTCTCACTGCCATGACCATCCCCTGAACACCCACCGGGCCAGCAATGCTGGGTGCAGCTGCTGGACACAGCCGGACCAGGCCTCCCTTCCCTAGCATCCCAGTGAGAGTCCTGGACTGGCCGCTGCCACCAGGAGGTGCCAGGCGAGCTGAGGGCGTTATGCCCAGCCAAGCGTCTTTAACACGGACTCTGCCCACTCCTGAGCCAGCAACGTCCTCACTCACAACCTGGTGAGGCCTACGTTTTCTGGAATACTGATCTTACCTCACTGTTTAAAAAAATGTAAAAACGCCCCAAAATCAAACAATAGCAGAGTGTCATGCTGAGCAGACCCCGTCCCATAGGGTCGGGGGCAAACGCCCGTACTCACCCATTGCGGTAAGTGTGCCCCATGCAGGCGAGAGCTTCCAGCCCAAACCAGGTGCCGTAGGTGAAGCAAACCCCCCAGGAGCTGGAGGGAGACACAAGGAGGCGGAGCCTCAGCGCCCAGGCCCCACGCACAGCAGGTGGGAGGATGAGAACCCCCTCCGGCACGGGAGGCTGTGGCTGCTTTCAGGGAAACAGCCTCGCGGGATTCACAAGCCACAGCACTGCAGACCGTCAGGCCTGTGGGACAGAACCGGCCCTCCCGGTCCTCCCGGCCCTCGGGCTCCCTTTGCGGGAACCACCCAGTGAGGTCAGAAGGGACCCAAACCCAGGGAAGGCGTGAGGACTGAGACCCGAGAAGCCAGGTGGCAGGAGGCAGGCCGCACACCCAGCACTCGCCCGCACCACAGGGTGGAGGCCAGGCGCTGACCAGGGACAAGGCCCACCAGGACCTGTGGCTGGCGGCTTCCTGCCAGGACAGCGGGTGTGTTCAAGCGGACGGCCGCACCCGGGGAGCTCACTCACCCCTCCCAGGAGCCGTCGGGCCTCTGCTTCCGCCGACAGAACTCCAGGGCCCGCTCGAGAGTCTCCCTGCAACACAGGGGCCGGCCGGTAAACATTCCGGCAAAACGGCAACTGACCCCATCCCACCCATCTATGGTCTCAGGAAGAATGAGTGGTCTCCCTTTAAGAAATATGTAAAAATAAACAGTTCAGAGAGGAGCTACAAGGTCAAGGCAGAAGCACGTACAGGTAGGTAAGGAAACCCAAGGGGAAAGCAAACGCTCAGGGGGGTCCAGTGTTGGAAGCAGCTCCAAACGGGAAAGGTGTCACTGAGAAGTGTCAGGCTACGTGCTTGAGTAAATGACACAAGATGGAATTCTAAAAAGAAATGAAACATTAGAGTGAAAACAAAAGATTTAGAGGACAGAGAAGAAGCACCATAAGCCTAGCTGGTCCCCCTGAAGGGGCCGGCATGAGGGTACAGACGCAGCCTGAGGGCATCACGCCCCTCAGGGGCTCGCCCGTGTCCCCCATGCCCTGAGTGTGGGCGGCACCCCAGATTTGTTTCTAACCACAGTTCCTGCAGGGTTGATGGGACGTCACCCCTGTGACTACATCACGTGACGCTCCGGCCTCCCTCTGCCTGCAGAGTCCCTCTCCCCCTTGCTTCTCTCCCGGGCCGGCTGTCATGCAGCCGCGTACAGAGGCCCACGTGCCGGGAATGAAGGGTGGCCTGCAGCCCGGTCAGCAGGCCAGCGGGCCCTGACGCTGACACTCCACAAGGAGGGGAAACCTGCCAACAACCCCACGAGCTCGGAGCAGATCTTCCCTGGTCGATGCTCAGACGAGACCCAGGTCAACAGTGAAACAGCGCGGCCTGGACTCCTGACCCACGGGAGCTGGGAGGTGATCACTGTGTGTGGCGTTAGGCGATACTGTCACTCAGTGACAGTGACCAGTACAAAGGTGGCAGTACAAATAAGAGCATCGGCAGTCAGAGCAGCGTCACCACAGGTATAGTGGAAATCCAAAAGTTAAAAGAAAATAAAACTTTAGGCAACACATTTGAAAACTCAGACAAAACATACAAGTTTTTAGGAAAACTGACTTGTCAAAATGGCCTGAGGAAGAAAGAGTCTGAGTCGCCCTGTAACTACTGAAGATATGAGTCAAAAAGGTCAACTTTTCCCAGAAAAAGAACCCTAGGCCTAACAGTTTTATAAGCGTATTCCCCTCAACTATTGTACAGCATTCTGGTCTTACACAAACTCTCTAGGGACTAGGAAAAGCACCAGACACTCCGACTCATTCTAGGGACCCAGCACAAGGCTTTCGGATCCCGGCGGGGGTGGGGGGGGCGTACCGTGGCCCCCATGGTGGCTCACTAGGGAACGCAGATGCAAAATTCTAAGCTAAACAGCACAGATAAGCCCAGTTAGGTTTATCCCAGAAATGCAAAGGCATCTTCACATTAGAAAAATGTACAATAAACATCTACAACGTGAACAAGTAAAGGAGATAAATACCTAATCAGCTCACAGACATAGAGAGGTCATTTACTAAAACTCAACACCCACTCACAGTGGAGGGAAAGAACTTAGCAGAAAAAAACAAGAACCTTGTTACCCTGAGAAGGAGTAACCACCCAAAACCAATAGCAAGTATCCTTGTTACTGGAGACGTATTAGTAGCAGTCCCCTTTACAGTCAGGGAATACGACAGGCGCTGTTACTGCTTTCCTGCAAGAAAACCGCAGGCCCAAGGGAGGCAGAAACAGCCCAGATCTCACAACCTTCCAGGGAACATAAGAAGAAAACACTCTGCAGCTCATCTCGAGTCCAGCCTCCCTCACAGGAGTCCCTGACGAGGACATTATAACAAAGTTACAGAACGGGATCACTCGGCAGCAGTTGTGAAAGTCCTGAACAAGACACTTCCCAAATCAACTCCCACATACCCAACAAGGCCAAAAAGACGAACACGCCAGACTGAGCTGAGTCCCACCAGGGGGCACAGAACCGGGCTCGTCCCGGCAGGAAGGGCTCTCTGACACTGCAGAGGGCACGGCACAGCAAGGCGCTCCTGAGGACACGTCCTCTGTGCCCCAAAAGACAAGTACAAGGCTCACAGCACACGAGTCACAAGAGCCACGGAAAGGGCCCCGGAGCACAGGGACACGCAGTATGGCATGTGACCTGGCAGACAGTCCACAGCCAAAGCAGGAATGGGGGCTCCACCGGCCGCCGCTCAGCCGGGGCTTCTGGTAACATGCACACCGAGGCAGCCCCATGGTGTGTCCACGTCAGAACAGGTCAGAAGCACAACATGCAGGGTGCGCCCTGCTCCACACACGGGCCAGACGACAACGGGAAAGGCTTATCAGGAGCCACTAGTGGAGCTGGGGCACGTGTCTTTAGCATCATGAAGATGACGAGAAAAATCACGCGCTTCTGTGGGGTAACTGTGCGACGCGGAGCCCCCAGCACCGTTGGAGCCACTTCTGGACTTGCGCTGGGCTCAGGGGCGCCGGAAGTCCCTCCCGGGACTAAAGGAGCTTTGCCCAGAGCCCTTTCTGTGACAGGCTCCAGGTCAAGCTGGACAGTGACTGTGCTGTCAGCCCGGAGTGGCCACAGCTACCCTTACCTGATTTCCTGGGGCCTGTGCTCAGGGAACTGCACGTGGAAATGCCAGAGCGCCTGCATCACGGCCGAGGTGCACTCCACGTACGTGTAGTCTATCATGATGTCCCCTGGGAGAGCAAGGGCGCAGTGAGGCGGGAGCTGCTGCTCGCCACCCATTTCGGCAACGCACGCTAAGCCTTGAGCACAAAGCACCATAATGTGTGGGGCCTGATGCACCGAGAGCGTGGCCATCCCCCAAGGAAACAGGAAGGTATCACCAGTGACTAGCCCAGGTGACAATGCCACACAGATGACCTGGTGACTTGGAGGCGCTTGTGTGCCATGGGACTGCCATGCCAGCGGGAGGATGGAACAGGGCACACAGAGCAGAGAGCTGCACCGCACCCCAGAAGCCCGCACACTGGCCCGAGTTTGGCAGTGACAGCAGGGGCGTCAGGGCCTAAACGTGGAGCAGGATGAACCACGACATGCAGGGGGCACAGAGCGTCAGGGTCCACCGACAGCTCCTTGCAAGGAGCACTCAGGACGCGGCAGGGGCCGGAGCCGGTGTGAGCCCCCAGATCCTGCCGTGATCCCCACCCACAGCAGGGGCTCCAGGCCACCCTCACTGGTTGAGGAGCATGGAGCCCTCCAGGGCTGGGGGCTCCTTACAGGACTTGAGTCACCTGCCAGAGCCCCTGTGGGCATAGCCCTGGTCAGGGTAACTCTGGTCAGCAGCTATGCCTTGGCACAGGGTCCTGGGATGTGGCTAAACGCCGGCTGATGGCCACTCACCGAAGACTTCCGAGGGGTTCAGCAGCTCCAGCAGGTACCCCCCACGCTTGGTCTCATAGGTGGCAAATCCCCCATCAGAGTTTCTCATGCTCAGCAACTGAAACCAGAGCACATCTGAGCTGAGCGTGCGGGGGGCCCCAGCCATGTGGGCGCCGAGAACCAGTGGGCTGGGAGGGGAGGCAGGAGCCGGCCCCCATGTCACACTGAGCCTCAGCGACCTGACAGTGAGTCGCAGCCTCTGTCCGTAAGGCACTCCGTGAAACCTTGGGGACACAGCCCGACGCGCATACGCCTAGTTGTTAAGTCGCATAGGCGCTCTGAGCCAGCGGCCTCCGCTGTGCCCATGCTGAAAGGGCTGGCATCGTGTTCCCGGCACCGTGGAGATGGCCAGCCTTCCCGGAAGGGCTGTAGGAGCGGCTGGCGTGTAAGCCTCCAAGACGCAGGAGAGAACAGGCCAAAGCCACCTGCCTGGCGCCAGCCCCTCCCTGTGCTGGCCCAGGACGCCGGCTCTACCAACGCCCGGCCAGAGCCCCCAGCTGCCGAGCCAGGTGCTGTAGGGACATGCCGCTCTGGCTCACGGTCTTGGCCCCACGTGTTGGCTGGGACAGGTCCCAGGGGACATGCAGGCCAGGGCACAGCTCAGGCGCAGCACTAACGGGACCCGGGGACCCTGCGCGTCCAGCAGCCTCACCACGTTGACGGCGTCAAAGAGCTGCTCTGGCGGGATGTGTGTAGTGACAGGACACTTTTCTTGCACGAGGAGGACGGACTTCAAGGCCTCCGCTGTGCAGTCGGTGACAATCCAGCCACAGTCCACAGTGCTGAAGGAGAAGGCGCCCTGCGGAACGTGGCCGTGACTGGTGGGAGCAGGCATCCCCGGCACCCTCCGCCCCTGCGCGGAGCCCCCGTGTGGACGGGCCTCGGCTTCCGACTCAAGAAGCCCACATGCAGCCGCTCTCATCACCGACCCAGATCCCACCACAGGACCCACCCAGGAAACAGTCACTGCCACGCTCCCGACCCGTGAGGACGCGGCACAGCGGGTGCACGCTCACACACACTGGAGGGACTGCCCCTCCGCCCTCGCCTCCTCGTCTCCCTCACCCTCGTGCCCACGGCGTCTCTAACACGTCTGTGTGGCTGGAGCGCCTCAGAGACGCGATGGGTGTGCACAGCGTGTGGACAAGCCCGTGTGTGTCCTCCAGAGCGCACAGCGCCCATCGGGGCCACCTCGGGGCCATGGGGGGCACCCCCTGCATGTGTCCTCACCACCAGAAGCCCCAGGGCTCAGGCAAGAGCCCCCCAAGGCAAGCCCAGCGGCGAGCAGGCCCACATACCTTCGTCATCTGGCGGTAGTACTTCTGGTAGTCGGGCGGGTTGTCCGGGACCTGAGCAGCGCCAGGAAGACACATGTGGAGGTACAGGAGGGAGCACGTCCACACGCAGCGGCGGCCACACGCAAACACCAGGGTGGGGAGGGGCCCACACAGAAGGATGTGGGGTGCCCGAGCTGTGGCCTCTCGGCCATTGGTGCCAGAGGGGACCCTTGAGGCTTCGCCCGCTGCCCACAGCCCACACCCACTGCCAGAAAACACCATCAGGTCCCCACGAGCTAATGGGCAGGGTGGGGGCACGGAGGAGGCACCTCTGACCATGGGAGGCCCCCCAGAGTCTCCGGGCCCAAGTTACCTGTGAGATCCGCAGAAACTCATGCGCCTTCTGCAGGCAGGACGAGAACTCGGGCCTGTGCTCTGCACCTGCCTGGGAGATAGAAGAGGGTCAGCCGCTGGCCGCAGCAGCTTGCGCGGGTGAGCTGGTCCCCGGACAACACCGTGCTATCCCCAGGAACTAGGAACCAACCCACTCAGGGTCAAGATGTCTGTCACAAGTCAGAAGAGACATGATGGAGAAACAGAGGGCACAGCAGGGACATCCACAACACAGCTGCCCGCCCATGCCCACTGGCCCCCTCCCTCCACGGCAGCCCACAGGACGCAGACCCCTCGGGACTCTCCAACATGGCTCATTCGCCGGAACAGAAACACTCCCACTTCTCTCTAGTGCGTGCTCAGTGCTCTCCTCAATGTCCCCAGGAGCAGAGTGACTTTGAGAAGAGCCTGGACACCCCAGGCCTCGCTGCTCCTAAAGCCTGCAGGCCGGCCCCCTGCCTCAGCTGGACGTCGCCAGGGCCTCAGGGGCCAGGGAGCAGAGCCAGGGTCAGCAGGTGCGTGTCTGTGCTGGGCTCGGGTGGCCATACAGGAAGCCCACTGCAGGCTGAAGAGAAGGAGACGCAGCCACGTACCTCCAGCAGAGCCTGGATGGCAAACGAGGTGTCCCAGACCTGCGAGCCATTGGTGCCCTGCATGCAAAGGATGGGCTGTGAGAGCAACCATGGCGTCCGGGGATCCCAGGAGCTCCCACAAACAGGTGGGAGCCCAGCCAACCTGCCCCCAAGCTCTGTGCACCCCTCCAAGTCCACGAGGACCTGACAGTGGCTGGTCCTGCAGGCAGCCCCCCATGCCAGCCTTCACCAGGCCTCCTACCAGAACACAACTGTCAGAGCACTTCAGGATCTGGATGCCACCACCCGTGACCTCCTCTGCCCACCCACCGACCGACAGGATGACCGGTGGCCCCTGTGCCCCGAGGACCCTTCTGGAGGCTCCGTGTTTCCAGTGAGCCAGGCGGGGGACAGCAGACAAAACCCCCAGGAAGACCCAATGGCCCCCAGAGCCCCTGCAGCCAGGACAAAATGAGGTCAGCCCAGGCCACCCTGTGATGTGGCGCCCTACCCACAGGGTCCCATGCAGGAAATAAGATAGGGGTGGTAGTGATGGTGCCACATTGCCTACACCATGCAAACGTGGGGGCTGAGCCCGGCAGCACAGACCAGTGGGCCTGCCTCGTGCAGGGAAGGCTCAGGGCTGGGGACGCAGCTGCAAACCCTAGGAGGCAGGCGGCCACTGAGGACAGAGCCCTCCCCTTACTGAGGCCTGGCAGGCGTGCGACTCAAGCCACTGTCTGCTCCTGACCCGCAGCTCAAAACGACACTGGCT